TTGTCCCAACAGTAAAAGGAACCAAAAGCCTATTTTGAAAAAAAAAAAAAAAAAAAAGCTGTGATGGTCCTATGTGAAAGAAACACTAGCTCTTAGCACCCAAGGACACTTTACTTAACCTCCTCGACAGTGCTCTGTAGCACCCTTTCATATTGGAAGGATGGGTCAAAAAACCCGTAGAGACATCTTATAGGACATCTTTCTGCAGGATAAAATCTGCAGGTTATTTCCTGAAAATGACTCTCTCTAAAAGAACAAAAATGGAACCCATTTGGAGTGAAACCGTCCACACTCATATGGTGCTCTGAGTGGGCTAGCAAAATCTCATCGGCACTAAAAATTGCTCACACATCTGGAAGAACCAGCGCAGTCATCTGAGAAGTATTTAACTCCCGAGCCACAGAGAGCTCTGCATTAGGCCAGTCCTTTTTAAAGACATTCCCTTTCTTTTCTCAGCAACTGTGGGAGATGCTTCATTCCACAGTTCATTAGTCCTAGAAAAGTGTTTCTTGATCATCTCCACTTCCAGCCCTGGGGCTGTGCAGGTTTTCACAGTGCTGCCCTGCAGCCAAAAAAATGTGTTCCCAGATATTCCTTCTGCAGTAACTAAAATACGGTTTTGGCGCGCTTCTGCAAAATTAGCTTCAGGCAACAGCAAGGGGAGTTTGCAGAAGCCTCAGTCCTCCAATTTCTCACCTGATGAGAGGTGAGCTACTGATGCTCAGTGGCTAACATCATGTTAAATCTTTGCCTTGCAGTAAGAGGGCTTGTTCTCACACTAAAAATCTTTTCAGAATTTTCTCTGCAATCATAGAAGCAGAAAATTCCATAAGACTCCAGTTTATGACCTTCAACACGAAGCAAAATACACTTGTCTGAAGCAGCCATAAGAACTCCATTTTCTCTGCCCAGTCTTTGAAAGAGAGAGAAATAATGTCATAATACTATGAATACTTATGAACTCCATCTTTGGGAAGAGAAAAATTTAATCACAAAAACACAAATAATTTGACTAATTTCACATAGTTAACCATTAACAATAAATAGTTGCTCTGATATTTCAGAAAGTTTCCTCCAACTTCCCACCAAATCTCTCTAGTGGTTTTAAAATATCCGGATTCTCTTAACAAACAGCATACCTAAATCAAAAAAAAAAAAAGCTGGGCAGAGAGGAACCTGATGAGGTTCAACAAGGGCAAATGCAGGGTCCTGCACCTGGGGAGGAACAACCTCATGCACCAGTACAGGCTTGGGGTGGACCTGCTGGAGAGCAGCTCTGCGGAGAGGGACCTGGGCATCCTGGTGGACAACAGGTTAACCATGAGCCAGCAGTGTACCCTGGCTGCCAAGAAAGCCAATGGGATCCTGGGGTGCATCAAGAAGAGTGTGGCCAGCAGGACGAGGGAG